TCTTTTGATTGCTTCCACAATGGCATAATAATATTAATTGAGAGTGTGAAACGTGAAGATTAAAATGTGAAGAAAAGAGTTGTAGGAAAAATCTCATTTAACAAACCAAAAATGGTGCATACTACAAATGTCAAATTGCAGGTAATGTTTATTTGGTCACTCATTAATCATTTAATTTAAAAAATTAACAAAAAATGTTTAGAAGAAATGTTTAGAAGAATCTCGTCCGATCTGTCAAGTTAAGCAACGTTGGGCCTGGTTAGTACTTGGATCGGAGACGGCCTGGGAATCCCAGGTGTTGTAGACAATTTTTGAAATTTTGCGCTTGTGAAGGTATTAAAGCGATAAAATGATGAGAATTTAGTGTATTGTTTTTGGACGCATGGAAACCGATGATTATTGAATGCACGACAATGATATGAAAATGATGAAGAAAAGGTTTAAAACAATCGTTGTCTTTTTATGCACAAAAACGCAGACATAGTAGACACAGAGTGTATAACATGGTAAGATCAAATTAGAATAGATAGAGGATATGATCTCTACGGGTAATTCTGAACACAATGAATAATAATATTTGCATATTATCTTGAATGCAAGAAACATATTATGCACTACCGTTTGTTCTCTTTAGTGTTAATTCGTGTTTTTATTTATTTTATTTTTTCTTGGATTAATTGGTATTTTCATTTTAAATGTGAATGAAGTTAATTTGAAAAAAAAAAAGTGTAAGGTGTTTAGTGTTTGATACGTATAATAAGCAGTATTATGGCCAATTTAAAATCAAAAAAAATTTGCTTTCATTTTCATAAATAAATAACATTTCCATCATGCGCTTTTATACTTGGCAAATGTCTGGTAAACTTGTTGATTTTATAGAATGTGCACAAACACAGGGGAGTGCGACATTTTCGACGTTTTGGACTTCCTAGAAAGGGAGCCTGTGTTGCTTCACATATTGCTGGAACTTGTGAGAGAAACAGTAGAGGTAATCATTTCATCTGCCTTTTCTTTTTTTCCCTTGTTTTCTTTTTAATCCTTTGTCATAAATTGATCACAATAAGTTGTAGAACTGCCCCAAATTTAAGAAAAGACTGTAGATTATCACCATTTCAGTTTGAAACTACACTCCTCACCCGCTTGGAGAAGGCGGAGAGGAGGTTGGAGGGATTCGAAGGGCGAAATCCTCACGAAGAAATGGAAGAGGAACTGGTATCTCAGGAACCGGACTTTAATGAAGAAGAGGCCGAATTTGCTCCTCTGCTTGAAAGCGATGATAAGGCCGAAATCTGGCCATCCGGAGCAGAGTGGGATGGAGAAGAAGAACCTGAGGTACTGGCGGCACCAATGAAGGCGAGTGGCATTATAAAACCGGCAGAATCGGTCCGTGAACTTGCCCTGTAAGCTTTAATTTTTGCAGCAAATGTATAGTAAAGTAATAATTAGGACTTCTCTTTATAGCTTTTTTATTCTTTTTATAGCTTTACTAACTTCATGCGTTTGTTAACTTTGCTCACCTTAACAACACTAACTTGTATTTGTTTCATGCATGCCTTTTTGTGATTTTATTAATTGCATACTTTTCTGTGCTAATCTCATTTATTGTTATTGAGTAATATTTTTGATTACTTGCAGTTTTCAGTCTTTTGTTAACTTTGTTTGTGTATGCTTTTCCGGTTACTTCTACCAATCGCATGCTTTTTTATATTTTCGTCCACTCCAACAACCGTAATTTGTATTTGTTGTTGATGCATGTTTCTTTGTAATTTTATTAATTACATTCTTTTTACCTAGTTTTACTATTTGTATCCTTTTTTGTTAACCTCATTTATTATCACTGAATAACGTTTTTGATTACTTGCAGTTTTCAGGCTTTTGTTAACTTTTTTGTGGCTTCTTTTGTGGCTTCTTTTTATTAATCTCATTTTGATTAATTGTGCTTCCTGCGTGTTTTCTGCTATCTCCTACTCGTTGCATGCTTTCTTGCTAATTTTATTCTTTTTGCATGCTTTTCTTGCTGACATTGGGTGCTTTGTAATTTTTCCTACTAACCTGCATTTAATTCACAGTGTTTATTAGATAATCATATTAGTTGCTTGCACTATTTTGTTGATTTATTTTCTACACGCATTTTGGACTATTTTCGCTTGTTGCATAATTTTTGTTGATTTTTATTATCATTATTTCAGATTATTTATACTTTTCAAATCTTTTTTCTAGTCAGCTTTGCATTTTGTACGTCTTTCCGTTATTTCTGCTTGCTGCATGTCTTTGTTTTCTTAGCTTTGCTCACTCCAACAACAATTATTTGTATTTGTTTTCAATACATGCCTTTTTACTGTTTATCAATTGCGTGCTTTTTTGCAATTTTACTAACCGGATATTTTGAAAAAAATTCTTTTTGAATTTCATTTATTTCTATCATTATTACTGGGTAATGTTCTTGATTTTTTGCAGTTTTAATTTTTCTCTTTTCTTTTAACTGTGTTTTTTCGGTTACTTCTATTAATTGCATGCTTTTTTTTAACTTTGCTCACTTCAAAAACAGTAACTGTATTTGTTGTTGATGCATACCTTTTTGTAGCTTTACTAATTGCACGCTTTTTTTTTTGCAATTTTACTAATTACATGCTTTTCTCTTTATTATTATCACTGGGTAATTTGTATTTTGTGCATTGTATTTTCATCCTTTCGTATATTGCATGTTTCTTGTTAATCTCTCTTGCAAGTAACTTTATTTATTGCTCGGACTATTTTTTTTTGCATGCAGTTTAGAGTTGTTTTTACTCGCCGCATGATTTTTGTTAATTTTTCTTACTTTATCTTCTACTTTTTTACGCTATCCGATAATGCAAGCCAAATTTTTGAACCAAATCTACCGAATGATTCAAAGATATGTTCTTTTTTGGTTACATTTCGAATCATATAAAAGAGTCCTTTTTGTGAATTCGCATCCTTTTTCAATCTTTAAATTCAGGGTTGTTTTGACAACAAATAATAGAGAACAAGCAAAACCCTTTCAAAAGGAAGAGTGGTGTGGAACATTTGCTGGTTGCCACCCTTGTAAAGTTTGTCAACTTTTAACTCTAAAAAGATTTCCTGCGCTAGAACAATTGTATGCGCTTGGTGCTTTGAATCATCGCGGTGAATTAACCAAATTGGGAAGACGTATGGCTGAATTTCCGTGTGATCCTTGCATGAGTAAAATGATTATCGCATCCGAAAAGTACATCGATTCATAATTTTTCAAATCCTTTAATGGTTGTGCAAAATTCATTACGGTTTATTAACTGATTGAAAGATAAGCAAAAGGCTGAAAGTTTTCCAATTTATTCCTGGGCCTTTGTATCCAAATTATAGCCACTACTTACTTCCGTTTTCTCCGTTCAGTGTCTAAACTTTAATTCGTCCCATCGTAATGAATAATAGCTTTTTAATTATAAAATGTTCCATGAAAAGTTTCTATTAGTAATAATATAATAAGTCATTTCGAGGGAAAGTTAAATTATTCTAAGATATGGATGTTCTAAAGAAATCATCACTATTGCTGGAATGTTATCATGTAATGCAGCAGTGTTTTATCGGCCTAAAGCTTTGGTTATCCACGCAGATACTGCTCGAAAAGGCTTTTGGTACCAAGCGGTGATCATCTTACTTTACTCAATGTTTAAATCGTTGGCGCGGTACCAACTACTCGTAGCAATGGTAAGTTTTGATACGTTTCTTTTTGTCGTTTTGTCAGGTTGAAATAGGTATTTTAAAATTATGTTTAAGGTGTATGGAGAATTTTGTTCAGTACAGGACGATGAAAAAAGCTCGGGATGTTTGTGATCAGCTTGAAGGTTTACTGGAAAAAGTTGAAATAGGCCAGGTTTGAGTTTAGCATTATATGATGGATATATTCAATTCAATTTCAAAACTGGTTCCTCCACTAATTTCTAGGAAGGAAGTATGCAAGAGAGTAGGAAATCTCACTAAATGGAGTTCGATATTCGAAAAAAAAATTTTTAATTCGAATTTCATATTTTTAGTTATCCTTAAGTAAATTGTTTTGCCAGGTGATCAATAACTGTTTAATAACAAGTGATACTGCATTAACTTTTTCTTTCGACTTTCATGGTTTGTTTTCTAAGATATCGTATAGTCCTTTTTTTTTCTGGATTTATGATATCGTATGTCTTCAGTATAGCTGTGAGTTTTGCATAAGAATCCACTAGAAAAGTGGATTCATATGCAAAAGTGGTCATTGGCTAATGGTTTAATTGGATTCTGAATCGAAACAACCATTGCAAGGTTCCAAACAGCGATCCAGTAGCAATGCAAAAAGCAAGCATTAATAAATGTTAGTCTTCTTTACTCAAAAAAAATTTTTCCCACGCTGAATGATTTATTTTGAACTTACCTTCGCATCGAAAGAATTTCTACACGTGGTAAGCCTTAAAGTTTTTCTTAGTTTCCCGAAAATTGACTGATATTTTGAATCGAGATTTAGGATCAAAAATTTTTGTTGCACTATGATCATTAAATTAACAAGTATTTGATTATTTCATTAAACCGGAAAAATTATATTCAAAATTAAAAATGATGTCAAATTGGTCCCTTAAATTAAAAAAATGAAATCACAGCTGATGAAATGAATGCATAGATATTACAAATATATGCAGATTTATTCTAACCTTTCCCAAGAATTTTAAAACTTTTTGATCTGTGCAGATATAGAAGTGATAATGCCGTGTTGCTGTCAGCGAAAATCATATTTTGGTATGATAATGACATACAATTGATGTCATCTATGGAGTAATTAATTGATAAAAAGTTTACGATATTATTTAATTGCTATCAATTTAACATCCTAATAATATTATTAATCGTTGATCGATAAGCATTCCAAAAAAAAAGAAAGTAAATTATAAAGAAATATGCAATAATTCCTTTTTATATTCGATTATAGATGAATTTCTGTTATTTTTGTAAAACTAACATGTAATTGACAAAAATTAATTATCATATTTTTTAAGTCTTCTGTTAATGTCTTCATTTTTGACTGCATTTATTCGGTTTTGGTGAAAAGATTTTGTATGCAACATTATTTTTCGTTTTTTTTTCATTACAAATAGATTTGTAAATTATTGCATTCAATTGTAATCATATGTTTCGAGCCTAGGAAAGTTTTAGCTAATAGTTTAGGACTTAAAATGTGACAGCGAAAATCCATATTAACATGAAGTCTATCTTAACAAACAATATAGAATAAGCTGATATTGGATATAGTTAAATTAGTTAACATTGCCGAGATGATTATTTTTGAAAGCAAAAAGAACGAACATCTGAAGCAAAACCGGAATAAATCTTTGGTCTGGTTTTCAGAATTACCCATTACAGCTTATTTTTTTTTATCTTACGATTGAGATAAATTATAACAATTTGTTGTTGATTATAAATTTATATAAATTAAAATTTGCTTTTGTGCTATATCATTTTTGACCTCTTTTTCGTTATAATAAATGATATGAATGTGGGGTTTTGAATTTTGCGAAACTTATGCCTTACATCATTGTTTTAATTAATTTTTGCAAAATGAAAATTTACATTGATTTTTCTCAATGAATTTTTTTCGAAACAATTTTTGGTTATTTCAGTTTTTTAGCATTTTTTTCCTTTTTTGTTTTGTTTACCGTTGGAAAGTAATTTTTAACGAAAATAACGGAATTATTTTTTGATCTTACTGAAATTGGTCTAATTAACTAACAATATACAATTGTAACTGTCTACTTTCAAAAATTTTTTTTTTGTTTTATTATTTCCGTTATTTCTTACATTTTTTCGTTAAATAATTATATTTTTGTTGGTTATTATATATTATTATATTTCAACTGACTATCATTCTTTTTTTGATAATTATTATTTGAATTCTTAATTAACTTAAAAATTAACAATGATTTTTCTTTTGCTCCCTCGTAATATACTTGGAAGTGTTTCAGTTAACTGTTTAATCTTAATTTGAGTTGATTTTTCATTCATACAATTGAGTGATATTCGATGAATGCTTAAAAAGTAATTTTCGTCATCACTTCACTTATATCCTTTATCATTACTCGGTGATAAATTTTTTATACTACATTATTTTTAAATTACAAAAATGTAAGAATGATAATAGACGAATATTTGTAGCACTTGCGAATATCCTATGTATAGTTTTCTAATTGCTAAATTTATACAAATTTAATTTATTTATTATTGGTGTCGTCTTTCAATCAGTTACAAATTCAATTCCTAACATTAATTCAATACTTATTTGTATTTATGCAAATAAAACTGATATCTTATTTCAAGCAGAAAATTTAAACAAAATAGCGCAAAGTTATGAAATTAATTGATGTTGTCGCTGAAATCGCGAGAAGTAGAAGAAAACAAGTGATACTCAATTTCCATTAATTAATTGTCTTATTGAAATCTTATTGTGATTAAGCTTTGTTCATAAGTATATTTTAGAATATTCCATGCCAATGTATCAATGCACTTAAGTACAACAACCATTCCCATACCGTGGGAAATCATTCTTCACAATAACTCCGCCTCCACCTCATCCCTGGGATAGCTGGGATTTTGGATACAAAGGAGGGTACCGGGTGGCTGGTTGCATTCGCGTTTATGTTGTTGGCGTGCTTGTAATTGCTGAATAAAAGGTTTAATTACCCAAGTTTGAGGTTTAATCATCCGAGTTGAGTGAAAATAATTCAAGAAGAATTTCAAGAACTCCTAGTTATTATC